CTATTCTATATACTTTTGTACCCCATTATTCTCTATTCTTTATACTTTTGCATCCCATTATTCTCTATTCTTTATATTTTTGTACCCCATTATTCTCTATTCTTTATACTTTTGTACCCCATTATTCTCTATTCTTTATACTTTTGTACCCCATTATTCTCTATTCTTTATACTTTTGTACCCCATTATTCTCTATTCTTTATACTTTGTACCCCATTATTCTCTATTCTTTATTCTTTTGTACCCCATTATTCTCTATTCTTTATATTTTAGCACCCCATTATTCTCTATTCTTTATATTTTAACAACCCATTATTCTCTATTCTTTATATTCTTTGCGCATTTCCTCTATTCATTATTTATTTTGGCAATTATTTTCTATTCTATTAACCCCATCCAGACCCTCATAATTTTATGTCTTTTTACCTATTCTTTCTATTTCCTTCAAGGTTCCTTTTATGTGTTACTGAAAACAACAGATAATAATTATTTCAATGCAAAAAGCACACGAATTTGTTATGTTGAAATTTCGTCTTTACTAAAGACATTTTTATAATTTTAATATAACAGATTTACTAATGAAAAAAACAAAGCCACTAGAATATGGTATTGATTTACGGTAGGGTTGGTAAACTGAACAATAAATTGTTCTAGAAATGACGAAACTCTGCTTGTTTGAATAACATGAGCGATAATTGCAAAATTAATGATGGACATAATACATATAATTGTGTACGTTTATCATAAATAGTTATTTTGTTCCATACCAAAACATTGACGACAATTCTATAAAGGAAAAGAAGAATTGTGACAAGGGACTGGTAAGATTTTTGTATTTTAAACAAATCTATTAAGATATTAATTGGCAATTTCTTTCTTTATCAGTTAGTATGTAATTAATATTATTTCATCAAACTATTTTTTTAGCGTTCCTGAAAAGTAATTCCAGAAAAGCGCTTTGGACGCACGATATTTATCATGTGCTTATTTCATTTAGTCTTTTATTATTATTATTAGTAGTAGTATTACTATTATTATCATTATTATTATTGTTTAATCTCGTATGCGAATGTGTGAACAATGACTAATATAAAGTAAGAAGATGTGGTATAATTGCCGGTGAGAAACCTATCCAACAGAGTCCAAATGACGTGGACGTCACCGGTGTCTTCAACCTATGCCAACATTTGATAAAAATATATTCAACCTATGCCTACAAACAAAATACAATAGGTGTTGTTTTAACAATTATTAATTTAAAACAGGTAAAATACAGTAAGTATTTTTAAGCACTTAATCTTACTCTTTAAAAATTTAGAAACAAAAAATAAACTATATGCAAAATTGTGTTTTAGTAAAAATGAAATTAATAAACAAAATAAATAAAAAAGACAAAATTTATAAAATATAACACTTGATCTTGCAAAATTTATGACAAAACAATGAACGAAAAACAGATATAACAGACAGCAACCATCGACAACCACTCAATTACAGGCTCCAAACATGGGGCAGTCACATAGAGAATGGAGCAGGGTTAAGATCCTTTAATCAAACGGTAAACAACAATATTATCAATAACTTCTGATCAATCACTACACATGCAAAAAAGAGAGAAGAAAAACCTAAAAGTTTTAAAGCCTATGAATTGATGGCCTTAGCACGGTTTGAAACAACTTTTGGCATTTTTGCCCTTTAACTTATTTATTGGTTTGGTCTTCCAACTTTTTTTTAGTTCGAGCGCGACTAACGAGTCTTATGTCCACCAAACGGAATGTGGCGTACTAAATTATAAGCCTGGTATCTTTGATGAGTATTTATTCCTCTCACACATATTTCTTTAAAAAGACAATTGCTAGTTAATTTAATTGGAAACAGCTCATTATCTTAAAATCTTTAAAAGTAAGTTCATAAAGCTTTACACATATTGAAACAATTGCGATAAGTTGATGTTCGACTTGAAACTTAGTTTTTGTTTGCTACTTTGGTTTTGTCTTCTTTATCGAATTCCTTGATTTGTTTTGATTTTGATTTTTGGTGTTTTAACGCCACTTTTAAGCACCGTTTTTGGGCTATTTCGTTGCGGCCAGTTTTTATTGGTAGAGGAAGCCGTAGTGCCCGGTGAAAACCACCGACCTTCGATAGGAAAACTGACAATCCTAGTCAATTAAGATTGGAGTCGAGTGCACCCGCACGAGCGGGGTTCGAACTCACAACCTCAGTGTTGACTGGCTAGTGATTACAGTAGTATCTACTTAGACCACTCGGCCACCGAGGCCCCATCCTTGATTTGAAGGAAATTGACTAATAATATTGATACATGTTCAAATGTTTGGTTAAGGCTTCTTCTAATTTCCCAAATTCAAATAAAAAAAAAAAATTCATCATATGATTTCAAACTTGAAATTTTTAATTGTATGAGGACCTCAGTAACATTCTCTGATTGAAAAAAATATTGAAATAAAAGCTGAATTGTAATGTTATTTATTTTTTGTACATGTAATTACTTTAAAATATCATGAGCATGTACATGTTATTGTGTTTATGGCGATTTCATGTAATTAACACTGTATTGATAACCGATAATAGTAAATAAATACTGCAAGTCTGTCAGTTAACAATATTATTATCATGTTAAAAATGTTTAAGTTGGCCATATTCAGTAATACATAGTCTCTGTAATCGATAACAGTAATTTACAGTTAATCTTTCACATGGTTATTTTCAAGAAGGTTCAACCATCTGTATAATTTCTATTATTTGTTCAAATATTTTTTTTATTAAAAAACGAAATGTTTTGAAAATGAGATTTTAATTTATGCAATTCCATTTAAGTAATCGTGTTTCTCAATCTTTAGTTTTCTATGTAGTGTTTTGTAGACAGTTGTTAGCCTTTTCGTCGTTTTTCGAGTTTTTTGCCATGGTATTGTCGGTTTACTTCAACTTATGATTTTGATTGTCCCTTTGGTATATTATGCCTTCTGCAAATAAGTATATAACATTGGAAACGGGTAACAACTGCAAATCGTGGCTCAAAAGTACATGAATGTCAATAACTTTTTGTATAGACTGTAAGTAAAAAAAAAGCTTTATTTACTGGCTATAAGAACAAAAGCAAGCGTGTTGTACCCGAGACACTGTTCAGAGAAGGTAAAAAGGCAATATCCTTGTGCAGATAACCCGGCAAAAATGAAATACAAACAATAATAATCTTTATAAAAGAAAATACATGAAAAATACACCAGCTTTCATTCAATCAAAATTCAGGATACTGATATTAGATGTATATATGAAAATAAAATATCAGCTGCTTGAAACAAATTGCACTTCTTTAGCATTTTCTCACTCAAAAAGTTCAGTGATTTGGTTACAAGTTACTTATGACTACGAAAGATTCCTCAATTGAAACATACTTATTGAATCTTCAAAGTAATATTTGTAACAATAAATAGCTTCTCGTAAAAGATAGCCATCTCATAGCTGATGAAATTGGAAAATATTTTTTTTTGCATTTTGTAAAATGCCTGAACACTTTAGGCATTTTCAAAAATGCCTGTACGATTCAGGCATTTTATATATTGATTAATTTCTTCCGGCATTTTATAAAATGCAAAATAATATTCTCCAATTTTATAAAGTGCACAATTAAAGATAACTCATTTCAAAATTAAGATATAATAATGTCATTAATGGTTAAATTTAACGATGTAAAGATTGTGCCATTTAATTATCTATCTTTCAATATTACTGATTCATCTGTCATCTAGAGATAACATCAACTTCGTATGCCGTTTATTGAATTTTCAACGTTGTCCTTCTATCATGAGTCTTATAGATGAAAAAAGCTGATAAAAAAATAAGTTGCCGTTTTGATTAGAGTTTTTCGATTTCTTAGTATACGAAAATGATCTTTAATATGTAGATATTGCTCAGCATTACATTCATAACCCATAAACAGTAACATTGTATTGTTTACCAGATACCAGGCTTCAATTTTGTACACCAGACGAGCGTTTCGTCTACAAAAGACTTACGAGTGACGCTTGAATAAAAAAAAATTAAAAAGATCAAAAAAGGTAAAAAATTCGAAGAGCATTAAGGAACCAAAATTCCTAAAGGTTTTGCCAAATACAGGTAATGTAATCCATTCCTGTGATAGAAAATCCTTATTATAGAGAAAAATTCAAAGTTTTGTAAACAGTTACTAAGGATACCGATTACCGATATCACAGTTTCCTGGAATTATCTGTATTTGATATGCTAGAGACACTATTTGAGAATAAAAATACAAATATGTTTTCACCAAACAAACCTAAAAACGCCTTCACGGCACAACTTAGCCTTCGTCGCCACATTACCAAGAGGTGCAACCTTATTTTAATAACAATCACATAACTTATGAAATGAAAATTTAAAGCCAAAACTTATATTTCAAATCATGGCAGTACCGAAAAACTGTCTGTTTGGTGTATTGAATCATAGTCCACCAGTGTAACAATTCAGTGGCATTAATAATAAAATACCGATTTCCGTCTGCACGCCACTTGTTTCCTGAAGAACCTTCGTTAGTGACCGACGTAAACCGTATTGAGTCAAAACCTAGCTAAAACAGCCAAAACCTACAATGGTAAAATTACCCCTTAGAGTTTCAAACATAGATTCAGTACAGTAACGTAATTTTTGAACTTGAAATTAAAGACAAAATGAATCATACATGTAACAAAGACTATTATACTCTGGCATTTTGAAAAAGGAGGCAATCGAATTTCTTTATCAGCGCTGATCCATTACATTGATCTGAGATCATTCTTACATGTAGATCAGAAATAAAGCTTGTAATACATTTAGTTTAATATCATACGAAATATCATATCAAATATCGTTGATTTTATTTTAACAGAAACTATCAGATGATGGAAACTATGAAGAGAAAGAATGACGTCGCAGTATATTTCAGTTCATCATCAAGTTCAGTATTTCGTGGTTCCTCAGGCTTGATTGATGCTCTTCAACCAACTTTTATGGGAAGAGGTAAATGTATAAAATTTTGGAAATATATTTGTTAAAAAATAGGTAAGATCATTGTTTAAGAGTTCCAAAGTAGAAGCTTCACTAATTTATAAACACAATATTTCCTATATCGGTTTTAATTCCAGGAATATGCCGTGATGAGCCACTGTCTCAGTCTGGTAAAAGAATCCAGCTATTCAAAATGCTCTGTTTGAATGTGCTGCCAATATTAGGCCTCTGGGCTTATACGGTTTATACCCTTGCTGATAGTGTAGGCTTCAGGGAAGAGTATTACAAGGTAAAACTAGAATATTGTGTGTACACAGGTCCAAAAAATGTTTTGTTTGAATATACCTATTTACTAAAAAGATTCCCTTTGTTTACATAAAAAAAACTGTAAAACAGATTTCTGATTTTTGAATTAATATTGTCAGTTTCAATAACGATATAGAAATACAAGTGTCTGAAAAATACCTTTTTTGAGTACATTATTTATCAGTTGTGTATTTATATTTCTCTAATTCTTCGTCAATTTATCCCTTTCTGCACCCATTGTATAAAAAAAATTTAATCAACGTGTGGTTCGTTTGATCTCAGTTCTTCATTGGTTAAAATCCGATTATGACGTCGAGTTTTCTTGCTTTCCTCTGAATTTCCTATTGTGACGGCATGAAAAAAGGCGACCATGCCTGATGACGTCACATAGAAAGAACACATCTTTTTGCAGATCATTCGAAAAGAAGGAATAAATTTGCCTGCGTATTGTTTGAAAATCATTAGGGAAACAGATTCCACCACCAAATCTCGTGTAATACGATATTTATCCACTCTCGGCAGTTAAATTTTAAATATTTAAAACGCTCGGCGAGCCTCGCGTTTTAAATTTGAAAATTTAACTGTCTCGAGTGGATAAATATCGTATCACACTCGATGCAGTGGTAGAATCTATATAAACTTACCCGTTATAGAGGAAAATACTCATAAATGACCTTGTTGACTACTAATTTATTATATTAACAAGTTAATTGTAGGATATTATGTATACTGTAAACCAACTTAATTTTGCGAATATTTTATTTTGCGATTAGCCCTTTCTAGCCCATTTCGCATCGATTTCATTTTGCGATTTTAAAATTTACGCAATGTAGTCAAATAAGGAAAGATCCAAGTATAAAATATTCGAAACGATTTATATTCGCGTTATTTTTCTACTCGCGAAAGTCGCGAAAAACAAATCGCTCGCAAAAATGTCGCGAACACAAATCGCTCGCAAAAATTAGTTGGTTTACAGTATTTAAAATTTATTTTTCAGAGACGATCTGCACTATACTTCAGCATCGATATAGGAAAGCTCGTACATCGCCTCCAAGTTGAACGAGACATGAGTGTGCTTTATTTAAGCGCCATTGGACCGGAAACCAAGTCATTTCTTCTGTCCGAGTACGCGAAAACGGATGAAGTTACACTGGATTTGACCTGGCCAAGCGATATCGACAATTTGAATGTTATGTTTTTATCAAAGGAAAATTTTCTTGCCTTTCTACAAGAGCATCGAAGGGTCCTCAATCCAAACGTTCTATCAATCCAAAATGAAATTGATTTCTATTCGAAAAGCATTGATACTATAATAATATGGCTATATAATACCATCACTGAATCTAAATTTTCTCTTATCTGGAAATTGCTAGTAGCTTATCAGAAATTATCAAGTGCTAAGGAAAACTTAGGAGTCGAACGTGCTCTTGGTACAATGTTTTATGCTCGAGGAGGATTCGAATCGCGTACTTATTTTGAAAATTATAATTTGAGGTTACACAGCTTTCGTGCATACATGAGAAGTATTGGAATGTATTCTACTGTGGTCGATGAAATTTATATTGAAAACATAGAAAACCTTCCCATTAATTTTTTAGCCACGATAGAGAAATTTCGAGCCGAAATTCAATTCATAAATTCAACCATTGCTACCGTAGACGTACAAAAAGCTCGTTTCTTTTTCGATAACATGACAATATATTTAGATACCTTATTCAACGTGCAGACAGAAATGGGTGCATTTGTAATTGCAAAATTTAATAACGAAATTGATAGCCTCACGCAACAACTCGCTATTAACGCCGTACTTCTTGTCATCGTTATCCTTGTCTGTCCTGTTGTTATCGTAGCAACAGAGAGCTTAACCAGCAGTATTCAGACATACGCGCTAACCCTTGTTGATAAAACCAAAGAGCTCACGAAGGAAAAGAAAAGGACAGACGGACTATTATACCAAATGGTCCCAAGACAGGTTGCAGATATGCTAAAAAAGAAGAAGAAGGTTGACGCTGAATTTTTCAAGATGGTCACTGTTTGTTTCTCTGATATGTATGGGTTTGACAAACTTACAGTCGATCTTACACCAATGGAGATTGTTGAGCTATTGAATGCTTTGTACAACACAGTAGATGATATTTTGGATGATTTTGATGTTTACAAAGTGGAAACTATCAACGACTGTTATATGGTTGCATCAGGTTAAACTTTATAGCATCATTAGCAAAAAAAAAGTTTTATTTCCTCTTCTTTTTATATAATTAATATTTTAATAAAAAAATTGAACTAAACGACTGTAACACAGGTACATCAGGTTTTGATATTATTTGCATTATAATAAAAATAGAATGATACCCTTTCTTCCATTGTGATATTAAACATTTTATTAAGACTAACAAAACCCTCAAATATTCGTGATTAAAATTATTTTTATTCTGTAAAAAAGAATAATTATTGCAATAAAAAAAACAACAAAAAAAAAAAAAAAAAAAAAACAGTACCTAAAAAGAACAACGCAGCAAAGGAATGGTAAATGCAGAATTGTTGCTTCTGCATGCATACCATACATTAGCTTTATGATTTTTACATATTTAAATATTTAAGGGTCTGGATGGGGTTCCTTTGTTTTTGTTTTTATTTTTTAAATTTTACCGCATTTTGTTTTATCTTTAAAAATAACGTTATTCTGTAAAGTCCTTATATAATGATTTGACTATGTATTATATGATTATTTTATTCTGTACATCATTCATTTCTGTAATCATTATTTCATTACCTTATATTTTAATTTTCCACAGTTATTCTTTATACTTTTGCACCCCACGATTCTCTATTCTTTATACTTTTGCACCTCATTATTCTCTATTCTTTATACTTTTGCACCCCATTATTCTCTATTCTTTATACTTTTGCATCCCATTATTCTCTATTCTTTATACTTATGTACCCCATTATGCTCTATTCTTTATACTTTTGCATCCCATTATTCTTTATTCTTTATACTTATGTACCCCATTATTCTCTATTCTTTATACTTTTGTACCCCATTATTCTCTATTCTTTATACTTTTGTACCCCATTATTCTCTATTCTTTATACTTTTGTACCCCATTATTCTCTATTCTTTATACTTTTGTACCCCATTATTCTCTATTCTTTATACTTTTGTACCCCATTATTCTCTATTCTTTATACTTTTGCCCCCTATTATTCTCTATTCTTTATACTTTTGTACCCCATTATTCTCTATTCTTTATACTCTAGCACCCCATTATTCTCTATTCTTTATACTTGTGTATCCCATTATTCTCTATTCTTTATTCTTTTGCACCCCATTATTCTCTATTCTTTATACTTTGTACCTCATTATTCTCTATTCTTTATACTTTGTACCCCATTATTCTCTATTCTTTATACTTTGTACCCCATTATTCTCTATTCTTTATACTTTGTACCCCATTATTCTCTATTCTTTATACTTTTGTACCCCATTATTCTCTATTCTTTATACTTTTGCACCCCATTATTCTCTATTCTTTATACTTTTGTACCCCATTATTCTCTATTCTTTATTCTTTAGCAACCCATTATTCTCTATTCTTTATACTTTTGTACCCCATTATTCTCTATTCTTTATACTTTTGTACCCCATTATTCTCTATTCTTTATACTTTTGCCCCCTATTATTCTCTATTCTTTATACTTTTGTACCCCATTATTCTCTATTCTTTATACTTTTGTACCCCATTATTCTCTATTCTTTATACTCTAGCACCCCATTATTCTCTATTCTTTATACTTGTGTATCCCATTATTCTCTATTCTTTATTCTTTTGCACCCCATTATTCTCTATTCTTTATACTTTGTACCCCATTATTCTCTATTCTTTATACTTTGTACCCCATTATTCTCTATTCTTTATACTTTGTACCCCATTATTCTCTATTCTTTATACTTTGTACCCCATTATTCTCTATTCTTTATACTTTTGTACCCCATTATTCTCTATTCTTTATACTTTTGCACCCCATTATTCTCTATTCTTTATACTTTTGTACCCCATTATTCTCTATTCTTTATTCTTTAGCAACCCACTATTCTTTATTCTTTATACTTTTGTACCCCACGATTCTCTATTCTTTATACTTTTGTACCCCATTATTCTCTATTCTTTATACTTTTGTACCCCACTATTCTCTATTCTTTATACTTTTGTACCCCATTATTCTCTATTCTTTATACTTTTGTACCCCATTATTCTCTATTCTTTATACTTTTGTACCCCATTATTCTCTATTCTTTATACTTTTGTACCCCATTATTCTCTATTCTTTATTCTTTAGCACCCCATTATTCTCTATTCTTTATACTGTTGTACCCCACGATTCTCTATTCTTTATACTTTTGTACCCCACGATTCTCTATTCTTTATACTTTTGTACCCCACGATTCTCTTTTCTTTATTTTTTTGCCTGTTTTTCTCTATTCATTATTTGTTGCCAGTATTTATTTTATCTTCTGTTAACCCCATCCAAACCCTCATCTATAGTTGTGTGGTAGTTTTCGTCTTTGCACTCACAATTTCAGCAATTTATACATTGAATCAAGTAATATTGACCATTATAGGATTGCCAAAACGAAACAAAGACCGCCATGCATTCGAGATTGCTGAGTTTGCCCTCAACATGCTTCGTACTGTGTCTGTAATGAAGGTTTTGTCCAGTAATAGATCTATTCAGTTGAGAATAGGGATTAATTCAGGTAAACTTACTAAAATTCATTGACCCCTTTATCATTATATAGTCAGTGAAGTGACTATAACTCTCATTTTCAACACTGTGTCGAGAAATTGGTGTACTAACTATGTAAATAAAAGGGCAGAAAAATACCAAAGAAAATGTAAATAAAGACAATAAAATTAAGAGAACGATTTTAGTCGGTATTCCAATGGGTATTGTTCACCCTACTAGCCGAATTGATCTAAATAACATATGGATAAGAATATCACACGCCTTCTTAAAGACAAAAAAAAAAGGAAAAAACATTTAGTACAATTCCATTGTGAAACTTTCAGATATGTTGATGATTCCATACACCGGATAATTTTTTTTTCACTGAATACTTGTATTACATATATCACTGTGAAGTTGGAATTTAGAGACAAGAGTGTATGTCAATCTTTTTCTTAATATTGGTGTCGTTGGACAAACTTAAACTCTTTAAAAAAAAATTATGACAAAAGCGATTATTTCAGTTTTCTGATTGTTAATTTTACACAGTCTGCTGATAGTTGATATGATCTGTTAGATACTTTATCATTATGGCAAACTCACTTACAGAGGTCAACTCTTAACTCAAAAACTACTCCAACAAACTTATAAAGAAGAACGATTGGGAAAATCAAAAACTCAAACATATCAAACGAATGGAAAACAACTGCCATAATTCTAACTTGGTACAGACATTTCCTTATGTAGAAAATGGTGGATTAAACCTGGTTTTATAGCTAGCTAAACCTCCAACTTGTATGGCAGTTGCATATAATTCTATTATGATGACAATAATGGGCTTTTACCTAGCACACAACTCGAATTAACATTTTCAAAAAGGCAGTGCAATCAAAAGAGTAATGGGATTGTATCTTTTTTCTTTAACTGTGCTTGAAATCTTAAAATGTGCTCCTTTAATCATTTTGGAAACTGATGCTGACGAAATCATCATTTTTCAATTAACAATCTTAATCTTAAAATCAAAGAATTGAGATGACGAATCTGTGTTTTTGTTAGATGTTTTTCTGCTTTGTATCGGTATCACTCAGATGAGTTAAGCCATTTTCAACTGATTTTTATAGTTGTTCTTATGTTGTGCTGTAACACCATTGACCCAGGTTAGGGGGAGGGTTGAGCTCTCACAAACATGTTTAACCCCGCCACATTCTTTATGTGTCTGTCCCAAGTCTGAAGCCTGTAGTTCAGTTGTTGTCGTTGGTTCATGTCTGTCATATTTGTTTTTCGTAAATTGTTGTGTTACAAATGAGGCTGTTAGTTTTCTCAATTGAATTGTTTCATATTTTTCATGTCGGGGCCTTTTATAGCCGACTATACGGTATGGATTTTTCTCATTGTTGAAGGCTGTACGGTGCATATAATTTCTTACATCCACTTCATTTGAACTTGGGTGAATAGTTATCTAATTGGCAATAATACCACATATCCTTAGTTTCATGTTTAATGAGGGTTTCACACAATACCATTTTGGATTACATTTTACTTACTTATTCTCTTTTATTATATAACTGATTGCTGTGTGTGTATTCTTCTGTCAAAAAGTCGAATAACATGTTGTTTTAAAAGACAGTTAAATTGAAGTAAACATTACTATCATAAGAAAACATACATATTACTGTAAATTCAGAAACTATTGCGAGGTTTTTATTATTGCGAATACTTCGACTGGGCGAGTATCGCAATAAATAAGAACTCGAATTCTAAAATCTGACACATATATATTTGTGTGCAGCTTTTCATGTAATCGCAATGATAATTCCCACATTTTGGTCTGTCATGCGTAATCGCAACAATAAATGCTCTATAAAATTTCTGAATTTACAATGAATTTGAAAACAATGAAAGTTAAACGCATTCAAAAATGATTGAGGCATTACTAATGGTATCTACATAATTATTAGGTCCATGTATGGCTGGGATTGTGGGAACATTGATGCCACGATACTGCTTATTTGGTGATACTGTCAATACTGCATCAAGAATGAAGGCACACAGCGAACGTAAGTTAAAACAACTTCAATCATATTCTTAATTTATGTGATTTTTTAAAAAAGTTTTTTAAAGATGATTTCATATTTTTTGTTGTCAACTTTCCTTTTGTAAATAGTTATATAATTATATGCAGTATATATCTCGCTGTTGTTAAGCTTTTCCAGAGCTTGTGTATCCTATAATGATTTTCATGATATAAGGTTGCTATTTACAAGAGATATCTTTGGAATATCGATGTCATAGATGACCGTGTATATGTTCCGCTTGTAGTAGCTATAATCCCATCATCCTTTTATATAGATTATGACCGAATGCGACTTATAACCTGTCATGAGCAATACTCTAAACTTCAGTACCAAAACAATTCTTTGGACGCAACACATCTTTACACATCATATATTGAAGAACATAACGGGGTCAACTCTAAAACCACCCGATCCGTCTTCCTTTAGCAAGAAAAAATCAATTCGTGATGTTTAATATGCAGTTAGTTAAGAATAAACCATTTGCCTATGTAATTTTCAAACAAAATGTGTAGACTTTTAAAAAAAGTGTTTATTTTTCAGCAAATAAAATACATATCAGCTATTCTACATATCAGTTACTGAGGAAGACGAAATCGTTCACTATCAAGAAAAGAGGGAGCGTTTCAGTTAAGGTAGTATACATTGAAAGTGTATTGTATAAATGTGACGGGATTGCTTCCCTTTGTACATGTAATAGATACTTAGCCAGCCGTAAGTGGTTGAACTAGGTGGCACGGTAGTATTTACATTCCGGAATTTAGGTTGCTCTTTTGTGTAGTCTACTTAAGTCAATGTATTGGACAAAAAATACATTATCTACTGAACATGCTTTCCCAAACTGAGGGATGAATCAGGTGAATAAAAATATGAAATAATTTTACATACATGTGAAAATAAATTTTTGAAATTATGTATTCGCTGCATGATAAAAGACATAAAAGCACTAGTGGCCTTAGGTTTCTAAAAATAGCAAAAAAAGTAAACGGTCATCATACATATTCAAATTAATTCTGAATATAATAATGATAATACTTCAGGTAACTGTGTATGTAGAACTTTGGGCAGTGTTAGAAAGTGTTGAAAATTCAAAAAATGCTACCATTATCCCTATGGGCCAGGAAATTCTACCGTGCCAACATTAGGGAGGTACTGCCTTGTAATAAAGTCCCGGGCTCGAGTTCCGAAATTTTGTAATATCAATCATGCTCTCCGGTTACATAAGAATCAAAATGGGTGGTCAACTTTTAAAAAACGAGGTTGAGAATGTAATCAATGTTGTCTTACTAATTGTAGGTGAAAACGTAAAAAAAAAAAAAAAACAAAAAAAAAAACAGTTTATAGAAAATGTAAGAAGTGAGTAATAAGAAACCAACTCTGACAAAAAAGAAATCCGAGATAATGTGATGTGAATGGGAAGGGGGAAACAGTACTCGTAATGTCACACATCTAATTCATCAAGACATGTTGGAAAATATTTTATTTTGATTTTATTTTAAGCCATCGAGGTGGTAAGAGCGACAGCATTCCGATTACCAAATGTGAAATTCTGAAGGTTAATTTGTGACAGAGATATTATGTCATGTCCATCTATGCAATGATGATGACCCAGTTCTAATTATCGATTGCACAAACAGGTTAAGTTTAATGAATTAGCTTCTTAAATTCGGCAAATCATTTGACCAATTTCAATTTATATCAATCGCTTACATATACCTATTTCTGTCACGTAACATTGTCATTTAAGCGGTGTTTTTAACATTGCCATATAAGCGGGAGGTTTGGCTAACCATAAAACCAGGTTCAACCCACCTTTTTTTCTTTCCTTTAAAGTGTCCTGTACCAAGTCAGGAATATGACAGTTGTTATCACGTAGTCCGTTTTTTATGTATGTTGACGTTTGTTTTTATAGCAGTTCAGTGTTTCTGTTGTTCCGTTTTGTTTCCTCTCATAGTTGATGTGTTTCTCTCAGTTTTGGTTTGTGACCCGGATTTGGTTCAGTTTAATCGATTTATGACTAATGAAAAGAGGGTATACTACTATTGCGTTTATTTACAATTGTATGACACGGCTTTGTTTACTTTCTGTTTTAAGGACGTTTCGGGATTCTCGAGTTTTGTCGTAACGATTCGTGCCTTCAAAAATATAGAAGTAGAAATATAATTAGTTAATGAGTTAATGACAACATTATCCTTCTACATTTTTATGCCCCCGCCGCAGCCGACGTGGGTATTGAGTCCATCTGTCTTTCCGTCTTTCCGTCCTTCCGTCTTTCCGGCCGTCCCATTTTTGTTTCCGCACTATAACTTAAGGTTGCCTCATGCAAATTTTATGAAACTCATACACAATGCTAAAAACTACAACACACAGACAAAGTTCGAATTAAGGCAGTAAGTCTTTTACCGTTCTAGAGTTATGCTCCGTTTTAACGTGGAAAATTGTAAAGCTTGAGCGGGGGCATTCGTTAACTCAGTCACATTCTTCTTTTTTTTTCTATTAATTAAGTCATTTGATTGATTGAAAAATTTAATCCAATGACATTATCATCCTTATACATGTATGTTTTAAGATGTTTTTGCAAAAAGAGTAATTCATTTATTAGTGTTAGACACTTTGGAGGTTTAGAGAAAAACGCTGCTTTACTATAAGGTTAAAATGGTGATGTTGCCATTATTTTCGCACTTTCCACATTGAAATCTTTCTAATTAGTTTTTACTACACATTTCTTCTGTACCAAGTATGTTCGTCTTAAACATTTCTTTCACTCTTTAAAGGTAGTTCTTGGTAAAAGTAATTATAATTTAATAAAAAAATTAAAAATAAAGAGACGATGTATGATTGCCAATGAGACAACTATCCATTAAAGACCAAAGGAAAAAGATGTCAACACTCTATGCCTTTTGCATTGAGCAAAGCCATTTCAGTTTAGTACGCTTAAAAGCCCTGAGGATATCAGAATGTAAAAAAAATTATAAAAAAGGAAACCATCGACTTGATTTAAACGACAACAATGAAAATCATTAACCAATGATAACCATGCTTTCTGGCTATGGACAGTATTAGTGTTAAGTGTGTAATTAACAAATGAACAACTTAATGTCCAATCATTGCCTCTTTTTGCCTTGTATCGCTGACGAGCTTTTACTTTTTTCTTTATTCATTAATTCTTACCCAAACCGTCATATATTGTGCAAGCCCTAGAAATAATATATTTACAACTTATTCAAAACTTTAGAATAAAATTTCATAATCAATTAATTCGCTTGAAGAAAAAAATGCGCGATACATGTATAGTATTCGTTACACTTCCTGTTGAAACGCCTAAATCATCAAAATGTTTTGTTTGATTATATCTTTGTTCGTTTGGGGGTAAAAATAAATGAAGAAGATGATGACGTTTAAGGAAATGTCAAAGAGTACCACTAATATTAAAAACCCTAATGGAAAATGAATCTAGAATTCATTAAACCATATTCAACGAATTAAAATCAATAGAGAAATCGACATGAACAGCAAATACCCAAAAGGACAAAACGTTGTAGAGTTATGCATGAAATTATTGATTTGGGGCGCAAGAAAACAACTGAAAAGTATTTCTAGCAGTTCTGAAATTAGATGGAAACCTCTGTCCTTAGTTTTTGAGCCCTTGTCTTTTTATGATTACCGGAGTAAACATTATGTCAGGTGTTTTATTTCTATTAAAGTTAGTTTTTTGAATGAAAAAGAAAGAATTATTGAAAACTTAAAAAGCAATTTGTAAATGTGTACGTTCAGGGGCAAGAACATCCGTGATCGTCTGTGTTTATGCCTTATTGTATATTTGTTTCTTTATGCAACTTTGTGTTAAATGAAGATCTTTAAGAGTATGGGACTCATTGTAAAAAAACATTTTCTTTGAGTTTATGGCCATTTGTTGGTCTATATATGTCTGCTCTATGGTCGGGTTGTTGTCTCTTTGACACATTCCCCATTTCCATTCTCAATTTTATTTTTTACAGAGTTTGTCTTTAGTGCCGTGTGGAGACAGTAGAGTGCTTCAGGTTTATGCTTTTATAATATACTAGATTATGGTGTGTGTGTCCGAGCGAGAACTTTTGGAGTGTCAAAAACTCGTTGGAAGTACTTGATAAATTGCATGCATATATTGGTGATTTTGAATCTGTTCAAAGTTTTGATTTTTCTACCCTATATACCACTTTGCCTCATATTCTTATTAAGAAAAAACTCACACACCTAATTAAATGGGCATTTAAAAAGTCGGAATGCGAATACATACGTTCAAAATCTTTTAGGTCATTTTTTAGTAGCAACAAACAAAAGAACTATGTCAATTGGACATGCTTTGATACAATATCTGCCCTTGAATTTTTACTTGATAACATTTTTCTTCGCTTTGGAGATTCCGTATATCGTCAAGTTATCGGAATTCCAATGGAGACTAACTGTGCACCACTTATTGCGGACCTGTTTTTGTATTGTTATGAGTTACACTGTGCGTACTGTTGTGCGTTTGTTTTTCTACATTAGCTAGAGGTATAGGGGGAGGGTTGAGATCTCAAAAAACATGTTTAACCCCGCCGCATTTTTGCGCCTTCCCAAGTCAGAAGCCTCTGGCCTTTGTTAGTCTTGTATCATTTTTAATTTTAGTTTCCTGTGTATAATTTGGATGATTATCACTGAACTAGTATACATATTTGTTTAGGGGCCAGCTGAAGGACGCCTCCGGGTGTGGGAGTTTCTCGCTGCATTGAAGACCCATTGGTGGCCTTCGGCTGTTGTCTGCTCTATGGTCGGGTTGTTGTCTCTTTGACACATTCCCCATTTCCATTCTCAATTTTATCTTGTTTGTAGTATGATATATTTGCAATTTTATTCACGTTCAACTCTACCATTATTTGTTCCTGGTATATGACTTCAATCTTGACAAAAGTTACTCAAAACACAAATAAACACATTAATAACGTTTAGCGGATTAAAACAGTGTACTTTTGGGACTATGTACTTTAAATATTTCTTTTTTTATTCATTATTGTTTTATCATTATCTTGTATTTTATCTTTATTTTGCATATTTGTGTTCAATAGGGAAAAGGTGATATGAGAACATTCTGGTTGATGGGAAAAGTTGAAGATTTTGGCACAGTTGAAATTGAAGCAGACGTAGAACCTCACACAAAAGCTTTTGATATAACTGACATGCCTGGAGAAATTGCATCAGTTGAAAATCTCTCGTCCGGTTTCTATGGCTCTGCGAAGGACAAAAAATCTTTTGGGTCACCAAGCAGCCACGGTGATGTAAACAAAGAGGATCTTCCGGGTGAGATTACAACCATAGAAAGTCCAACTTACAGTGCTTCTCTTCAATACCCAATGCCGGGTAGGCAACCACAACGAAAGAAGCCAATACTGAAAAAGTCGACTAATCCAAATATTGAAGTCACCAAAGATGCAGAGACGGAACTTAAAGCCCCTGATGTCCGTGAAAAAACATGATTTTATTGTCAGCGAGTATACACAGTTCAAAATAACCTAGTTTGTTGTTTAAATTGTTTTAGTGTATTTAAATCACCTCCTGTGAGTTAATGTATTTTATTCATTTCAACACATAGAGTAATGTACTCAAAGAAAACTATTAATAATTACAAGTTGGTGAATATGTGGTTATAAATGCAACTTCATTTAGATATAGTTTGACTACATTGATAAAAATAAGTGGTGATAATGCACCTTTTTAAGGGGGTCTCATTGGGGGGTTCTCATCCCGGATCCCGCTTACTGTTTTGTCAGATTCCCGTATCCCGCTTACACTATGTACGTAAGCAATTCTCATTTTTTTTTTGTAATTTCCCGTGTCCCGTTAGACTTCATTTCCCGTTTTCACGACACAATAATTTGACTTTCACGTGTCACGCTTACAAAAAATCGGCAATCCTGGGTCACGCTTAGACCCCAATTAGACCCACTTTTAAATAGGTTTCTGTGTTGAATATAGTTTTGACATTATTGATAAAAAAAAAGTTGCAGTTTGAAAGTATAAAATGGACAATTAGTGGTGAAAGTGCAACTTCTTCTGTTGGTTACCTTGTTAGATATAGTTTTGACGTTATATATAAGAATAAGTGGTGATAATGAAACTTCTTCTATTGGTTCCTCTGTTAAATATAGTTTTTTTACTTTATTGGTAAAAACATTCAGTTTGAAAGTATAAAATGGCCAATTAGTGGTGAAAGTTCAACTTCTTCTGTTGGTTACCTAGTCAAATATAGTTTTGACGTTATAGATAAGAAAAAGTGGTGATAATGAAACTTCTTCTATTGGTTTCTGTGTTAAATATAGTTTTTAACTTTATTGGTAAAAAAAATTCAGTTTGTAAAGTAATGAATGGCTAATTAATTGTTAAAATGCAACTTCTTCTGTTGGTTACCTTGTTAGATATAGTTTTGACGTTATAGATAAGAATAAGTGGTGATAATGAAACTTCTTCTATTGGTTCCTGTGTTAGATATAGTTTTTTACTTTATTGGTAAAAACATTCAGTTTGTAAAGGATAAAATGGCTAATTAATTGTTGAAATGCAATCTCTTCTGTTGGTTACTTTGTTGTATATAGTTTTGACATTTCTGATTAAACATTTCGGTTTATAAAGTAGAAAACGACTGATTGGTGGTGAAAATGCAACTTCTTCTTGTAGTTACTTTGTTACATATAGCATTGACTTTATTGATTAAAAGATTTCAGTTTGAAAAGTTTAAAACTACTTACTAGTGGTGAAAATACAGGTTATTCTGTTGGTTACTTTATTAAATATAGTTTTGACTTAACTGATAAAAACGTTTGAGTTTGTAAAATATAAAACAGCTAACTAGTCATGCAGATGCAACGTCTTCTGTTTGTTACTTTGTTTAGATATATTTGATTTGAGTTTATATCCATTACATAGAAATATCATTATGTATACAGTATATTAAAATATATATTCTAACAACCAATGTTTAATGATTGTACGTCTATACATGTGTAGTTGAGTTTATATAGTCATACCAGAGAGAAATTATACACATACATGTATACAAAATCACACTATTTCTAGTATGATACTTCAATATCTTTTTCTTCGAAGATACTATGCTTATTAATAAGAGTCCTTTACGTTGGTTTTGTCAACACCAGACTAATCAGTGCCGCTCGAAAAAAAAAAACAATTGCAAGATGCAATAGTTGCCACGTAGAAATGAATTCGAAACCAAAATTAAAAAAAACAAACTGTTGGGATGAAATGTCAACCAGTCGTTTTACTTGAAAAAAGATACAATAGAGTCTGAAATTGAAAATCTGTAACACTATTCCTGTAGGTAGACACAACAATTGACTAAAACACGCAAAGTAATTAAATCAAATGAATAGTGAACAATCTGTGATCTCTGTTTACATTCTGCATTTAGGCAAATTTTAGCTTGACCTGTTTGTAACCAGAACATACTATTTCTTGATGACGAGGAATAACATTTACACAAAAGCTGACATCTACATTCAGGTGGGTTTTTTTTAAGGAACAGATAATAAATGACAGCCTTATTTTATAAACTTCATACTTTGACATGTTCATATACATCATGGAGAATCATCTTTATAACAAAAAATACAGTTGTTTTAATGTTTTCCATTACATAAATAGAAAAATCAATCAGTATTGAAATCAAATTATTAAAAACTGTTTAGACTAAACCCAATTTCATGAATTTAATAGTTAGACGAACTGACTGGGTCTATGAATACACATGCTACATCGATCTTTAGAGCTCCAATGTTGGTAAGCACATGGTCAACCTCCATGACAAATATTTGTTGTCCCCGTAGACAAAGCCCAAACAACATAGTTTTTGTGTGTAAATCGCATTCATAAACTGCTTGATGAAAGACTTGCAACTCATCATTTACCCAAACGACACTTACCAAGGAGAAAATCCTGAACAATCATAGGTCTGGTCTGTGTTGCCTTGGAATTTCAACCAAAAATGAAGGACTGGATCTTCCATCACTGTATTTGATTCCTAACTTAAATGTGTGTCTTTACAAACAACTTTATTATGCTAGGAATTCCAAATGCTCAATGAAACCTCGTTCTAAATTTTTAACATCAACTTTATCAACAATAAAAGCTGTTTTTAAAAGATATTGTGAAACTGCATATTTTAGGGGAATAAATCGTACATTGTAAAACATCACTCTTATTCAAACAATGAATTCTATGAAACTGACAATATCAAGATGCTTGATTTCTTGATTGACAACATATTTGGAGGACGGGTTTTTCATTTCCCATGAAACTAACTGTGTGCCTCTTTTTGTCGATTTGTTTCTTCATTAATATGAGGCCGACATCATACAGGAGCATTATCCTTTAACTTAAAGTTTGGCTATATATATGATGTCCTCTCACTAAATATTTCACAGTTTGGTGACTATGTTAAAACCATCTATCCCACCAAACTTGAAATAAAAGATACAAGAGATAAGTTAAGTCTGTCTCATACCTTGACTTACATCTAGAAATCGACAATGAATGTCGGTTGAAAACATAACTTTACGACAAAGAAGTGATTTCAGCTTCCCAATTGTGAACTTTTCATTTCTATGTAGCAACATTCCAGTAGCACCTGCATATGGCGTATATAAATCCCAGTTGATACGATATCCCAGATTTTGCATTTCCTGTCATGATTTCCTTGATAGCAGGTCGCTGCTTATAAAGAAGATATTAAGCCAAGAGTTCAAGTCAAGTTGTGAAGTTGAAATCTTCCATTCATTATTTTCACGAATGCCATCACGAGTTGGATGCCCGTTATGAAATATCTGTTTTACAGATGACGACGGATATGATCCAATTATCGTTACACCAATCAAGTCCTATTTTTATCGAAGGTGACTTATCACCGGGTTCGTACTAACATGAGCAACACTATGGGTGCCACATTTTGGTTCAGGTTACCCTTCTAGAGCATCTGAGATGCCTTGGTTTTTTGTGTTGTTTATGTTGCGCAGTTTTTAGTTTTTTATGTTGTGTTTAGGATATTGTTGTTTGTATTTTGATCGTTTTTGTTTTTTGCCATTTTTTGGCATTGTCAGTTTGTGTTCGACTAACGCTAACCACAATCCTTTCCTTAACCCTAACCATAACCCTAATCCTTACCCTACCCTAACCTTAAACCCCAATCTTAACCTTACCCTAACCCCTAAACATAACCCTCACCCGTAAAAAAGAAAAAAGTTTGTAGTATAATACTTCAATATCAATTTCATCGAAGATACGATGTTTATAAATGAGACCATCATTAACATTTATGTCAGCACACAATTGACCTCTTGGATGATGATACCCTCGAGGATGAAATGTCCACCATCCGTTTAACTCGCAAATAAATATAGTGCAGAGTCTAAAATTAATTAAAACTAACGATTTAGTAACAACATTCCTGTAGGTAGAGACGACGATTAACTTAAACACAGAAAGCAGTTAAGGCAGATGAATACTAGCAGTAAACAATACTAAATCCCTGTGATGTTTTTTAGTTGATTTTAGTCTCTCATGCAAGATTTTTTATTATTAATTATTTTGGGCTTTTAACTAGCTGTCAGTAACTGCGAGTACTCTCAAATCGTACTTTCTTATGTTTTTTTGTTATTTAATGTTTACTTATTCAGGGTTATATCTTGTCTATATACCAGCTTTGATAAGTATTTGATATTACTATAAATTTTCACTTCTTCGAACTATGAACATCAAAATTATTTATTTTGTAAAAATATTTCCTTTCTCCTTTTAAACTGTATACCTAACAACAAAATTATTTTCATTTATCTGTGTATAATATTATTGTAAATGGCGGATTTTTGTTTAAGGTTATCGTTGTTTTTCTGAATTTGTTTAACATTTCACAGCGGTATAATACTGTTACTTTAATTATTCATTCCTTATTTGATTTTGTATTTACATTGTTTCATAGATCAAATTTATTCGTTCAGTGTATGTTCACTTGTGTTAATATGTCTTTTGATTGAGTTAAGCCATTTCAATTGATATTTTATAGTGTGTCTTTCTATATTGTGATGCTACACTATTGTTTCAGATAAGGGTGAAGGTCTGGTACCATTAAATCGTTTAAACCCGCTGCAATTGTTTGCAACTGTCCTAAGTCAGGAATCTGATGTTCAGTAGTTGTCGTTTGTTGATGTGGTTCATAAGTGTTTCTCGTTTCTCGTTTTTTATATAGATTAGACCGCTGGTTTTCCCGTTTGAATGGTTTTACACTAGTAAATTGTGGGGCCCTTTATAGCTTGCTGTGCTATGTGAGCTAAGGTTCTGTGTTGAAGACCGTACTTTGACCTATAATGGTTTACTTTTATAAATTTTGACTTGGATGAAGAGTTGTCTCATTGGCACTCATACCACATCTTCTTATATCTGTGAACTCTGTTTTCATTCTGCGTTTAGA